CCCCTGAAGCATATCTCTCAGTTCTAAGTATGTAGAGAGATCATTGTCCAGTCGTCACGGCATTGCACTAGAATCACCGTCAAGAGATCAGGCCCTTCTCCCAGCCTTACCCAGACTTGACCTTCTGTGTGACTTTGGGCAAGACACTTAGCACAGAAACAGCCTCTTAAGGTTAAAAGCAAATGAACTTTCCCATGTGGAGGTGACCTGTTTGCTAACTAGATTTCCTCCTCCTCTCCCCTGCCTCATGCTTTGCCAGGCTCTGGGATGCAGAAACAAGACAGATCGGTCCTTGTCCTGGAGGACGATCTGGTCTACAAGAGGTGACAGAGCAGGAGACCTAGTGTGAGGCTGCATGGTGTGTTCTCAGACAGACAAGCCCTGGCTGGATTCCAAGAGCTTGGGGGGCTTTCCTCTGAGAAATTTAGGGAGTTTGTGTAAGACTCAAAAGAAGATAACACAATCTCCTTGAGCTTAGGTTTTATTCACCCAAGTATTCCTAGAATCTATACCAGTTCCTCACGTGTAGTTGGAGCTCTATAATAAATTATTGTATAGCTAATGAATTAAAAAACTAACAGTACAATAGGGGCATATGAAAGGGATCATTTGCTTGCTTCTTCTCCCTTTAAAATAGCACTCAAGTCTTTCTCATGTGAAAACAAACAAAAACACTTCCTTTGAAACTGCATCTCCATTCTCATGGCTCTGTTCTTTTTGTAACTAGGCTTGTGGGAGAATAGTTTCACTTGCTGTTTTCTATTCACCTCAGAGTCAACTTTTGACTTACTGTGACCAAATTTCTGCCCTAGATGCCTCTGAAATTATTCTTTCTCTTAATGGCCAAGTACAATAAGCACCTTTTAGTTCAGTAAGTATTCAGTGCTTATGATGTTCCCAGCCTGGCACTAAAGTGCTTTGGCTGGTGTAGATATTGGGTATGATCCTGCCACACTGAGCTAACCTTTGTGGACCCTTGAGGAGCCTATCTGACCTCATGGACCTCCGCCCCTACCGATAGGCCCAGGAATTAATAGATTTGAGATCAGATCTCAATATTTGATCAATGGGATCATATTTTCTCTAGGGGTTTGCTGAAAGCAAAAGTGGTAATCCCAACCATTTGTCATGTAGCAAAGGGTACTTGGAACTTAGCAGAAAGGTTGTGTTTTCCATGGAAGCACTTCACATATCACTGAAGATTGGGACCCAGCTCGTTGGATGGTTAGGATTATGCCTGGGACTTCTTGACATTATATGTGATTATATGACATACGTGATCACATATGTGCTGCCCATATGTGATTTTCTAGTCTTTGCCTTTGAAATGCAGCCAAGACAGGAGACTGGGGGCTGGGGCTCTAGATGAGGAGACAGAAAGATCTTTAGACTCAATTCTTAGTGATTCGTTATTGGTTTTG